CCACAGTATACACATCTTTAGTAAAAACTAAGCTAGAGAACTGCGCTCAGGCTGCAAGCCCCTATTTAAAAGGTGAGTCGGACATACTAGAAAAAGTACAGAAGGCAGCTACCCATGTAACTCCGGAACTCCGGGGTTTATCATACAAAGAGCGGCTTGAAAAACTGAACCTCTTTACTCTGTCCGATCGCAGACTAATGGGAGATCTAATTTCGATGTACAGCATATTGAGAAATGATTTCTGATCTAACTTATTCTCTTTTTCTTCTCACTAGATCGGGACATCTCAGGGGACAAAGCAGGAGAGTAGTAAAACCACGAACGAACAAAATACCTATGGCATACAGGTTTTCACACCGAGTCATCAACACTTGGAACCTGCTGCCTGAAGCAATCGTTTCCGCATCTTCAATTGACACTTTCAAGAGAAGTCTGGACACTCACAGAAGCATACTAGAAAAGGAATAACACAGGCCGTGGGCCTTCTGTCCTTACTACACAAATCTGAATCTGAATCTGGAAGTTCCCTAAAATTTCCCCAAACTTGGAAGCTCGGGATATCCAGAAAAACCTATCTCACTCCCTTATGCAACTCTTAAGGAACCATTACTAAATCATGTAAAGTGCACTAGTTTTGAATGCCGTGAAAGGGCGAAACTTCATAAGATGATTCGTCAAAATGGCCAAAAGGTTAGATAATTCATCTTTGAACTGCAGAAACAAGCTGCCAAATGTAATGTTGATGATCAGATTCATGTGCAAATGAGAGATTGGTTAATTTCAGGAATTAACATACCGAGTTTGGAAAGAGAGCTGTTAAGAATGCCGAACTGTTCTTTTCAAGATGCTAGAACTTTTTGTATTAACTAAGAGACAGTGAATGAAGTTGATATCCGATCGATGGAAATTTCTAATACTTTGCTTAGTCGTCGTGATGAACTACAATCTCAGGGCCAGTCAAACTTGCGTTCGTTTAACAGTGATTCCTATTCTCGTGTAGATATGAAAGGCTTTTCAACAAGGAATCACAAAGGTGAGATGAATTTTGGTAAGTGTTTATCATGTGGAACGTTTCATTCTCATAATTCATGTGCATTTCGTAATGCTAAATGTTTTGAATGTGGTGAGATAGGACATATCCAGTCAGTATGCAAAACTACTGTCCATTTTGTTTTAAGTAGTACTAAATCTTATAACTTACATCTCAGTAATTCGGATGTTCCTAGTGATCACTTATCTTTGTATACCATTTCGAAAGGTAATGCTCATATTCAAAAGCGATTATACACATTACTTGGTTCATGTCATGACACAGACAGTATAGAGTCCATTATTTCATTCAAGAACTTGAAATCTTTAGATCCTAACGTTGTGGTCTGACCCACTGAAGCGTCAATATTGGAGATTACTGAACACAGACTGCCTATACGAGGATGTTGCGAATTGCTAATAAGAGATGATAATTCGGTGAAACTCAGCATGGAGTACTCCTATTGTTACGCCACTGAAGTCGGACGACAAGACCTCTAGAATGTGTGGTCACTATAGATTAACATTGAATCCCCGTTTGTTGAAGCAAACGTGCACGACGGTAGAGGCTGAAGATGTTCTAAATCGACTTCATGGTTGTAAAGTGTTCTCGAAAGTTGACCTAAAAGATGCTCATCTTCAAATCCCTTTAGATCAATCTTCATCTATTTTGACTACAATTAACACTCCTTCTGGTCTGTTCAAATACAATTTCCTTCCATTTGGTTTAAGTTGTTCTCCAGCCATATTTCAGGAAGTTATGAATAAAATAGTGTAGGGCCAGTGAAATGTCACTGAGCCCTAGCCAAATCATCCGGCAGTTGGATCGCTGAATGTCGAACAGATCGTCGCTCCCTGCCAAGGTCATGTACAACAAACGCGCATTAGTTAATCATACGCCATGGACTGGCCCATGCGGCAGTGGTCTTACTTTCGCCTGTATCTATCTTAACTAATATATTTCTGTAATAACGTCCTTTGTGTTGTACAGTCTTCAAAGCATCTATAGTACCTTGTTACGTCAATGGGGGTAGTCCACGTAAGGTGCTGACCACGAGGTGTGACTTCGACGTTAGTTGGTTCGTCACACCATTCACGTCTAACCCGAGTAGGCCTCCAATCATTTCGACATAGATCATCTACGTTGGTGATCTACAATAGTAAGTGGTCTTGGAGGTGTTGAAGTTTATCAAGATGATCTCATTGTTCATGGTTCTAATAAGGAATTTCATGATCACAGACTTATTGCTTTATTGCGTCGTCTAATTGAGAAGAATATAACAGCGAATCCAAATAAGTGTTCATTTTGTGTATCTAGTTTCGAATGCCTTGGATACCTAGTTGATGGTAATGGTTTTAGACCAGATATGAAACGACTAGCTCCACTGACAAATGCACCGCCTCCAAAAATCCTACGGAATTACGTTCACTAGTGGGCGCTCTTCAATACTATTCCCGTTTTATTCCTAATTTTTCTTGTCGTGCAAATTGTTTATTTAATATTTTCACATCCAATCATTCAAATGGAGTGAGGAGCAAGAGTCATGCTTACGAAGTCTACTAAAGTTTCTTCAAAGTGACGCTGTTCTCCGAACTTACTCCCACAGTGTGCATTCTGTGCTCATTACTGATGCATCACCTGTGGGAATTGGTGCAGTTTTGGAACAGGAATGTAGACCAGTTATTTGTGTTTCACGCAAACTTACTGTTACTGGAAAAAGTTATTCACAAACTCAGCGAGAAGCATTAGCTTTGTTTGGGGCTCTTAAAAGACTTCATAAATATTTATTCGGAAAGAAACTCACCATTGTTACGGATCATGAAGCTTTAAAGTTTATTTATCATCCTGAAAAGTCCTTGGCAGGTTCCTAAGCTGCTATGGTTCAACGATGGAGTATTGCTTTGAGTTCATATGACTATACGGTTCAGCACAAGAGTGCTAAACAAATTCAACATGTTGACTACATTTCTCGACAGTCATTACAAGATAGATCTATTAATACTTCGGACTGTTTGTTAGTGTAACCTTTACCAGTGAGACGTTCAGATCTCATTAGAGAAACTCGCAGATATTTTGGATGTATACTCAGTTCTAATCTGAAACGTAGATTTCCTATCTATTTTTCAAAGCGGGATGAGCTATCTATTACTTCTGATGGTATTCTGTGTTTAAATGATCGTGTTGTCATTCCTCCTTCGTTGCGTAAATCTGTTCTTGAAGATCTTCATAGTGGTCATTTAGGTGTTGAGAAAATGAAGTCTTTGGCAAGGCTCACATGTTGGTGGCCAGAGATAAATGCAGTTATATGTCGTAGGGCAAACAATTGTGAAAAATGTCATCTGTTGAAAAATCAGCCTTGGAAGTGGACACCATGGCCAGTATCGTCTGAGGTCTGGCAGAGAACTCATGCTGACTATTGTGGTCCGTTTCTTGGCAAATACTATGCACTAGTAGCTGTTGATTCTTTTTCAAAGTGGTCTGATTTCACAATCCAAGCATTAAGAAAGGTGTTCAGTCGAGAAGGGGTTCCTATGGTGTTAGTGAGTGATGATGGCTTTCATTTTGCTGCAGATGCAGTCACTACCTGGTTGAATGGTATCGGTGCAAACATCTTTTAACTGCTCCCAGACATCCGTGTTCTAATGGTCAGGTAGAAAATTTTGTCATGACATTAAATACTGCTATTGATTCTATAGCCGCCTCAACATTTAATGAGCTGGAGAGGGGAGTAGATACCTTTCTATTGCAATACAGAAATGCCAGATAGTCGGTGACGAAGGATACTCCAGCGAAGCTACTAAAAGGAAGAAGTCTTCGGTCGGATATGTGATGTTTGGAGTCTGCGGAAGTTACAAACTATCGGGGAAGTGTCTTCGACCATCTACGGGTATTGTTCTGAAGAATGTCGGAATATCGATGGTATGAATTCAAGACATCAATGACTTAAGTACACACAGTCGACATGTAGATCAAATACAATTTCAGGAACCAGGTGAGTCAGTTCCAATTCCGGTTGTCAATTTTAATACTAAAGAGTGCATTCTAGATAATACAGAGCTTTTATCCAATACAATGTCAGACAGACTCAGGATGAATTTGAGACGAAGACGAAAGATTAATTACAAACACCTAGACTCCAATTCAAGCTGTGGCGGATGTGGTGTTTGAACAAACTAATGATTGTACTTTTGTACTATCTTGTACTTTTTAAATCCTCGATTTCGAATTCTAAATACAATACATTCGTTCATGTTCGTGTCGTACTTCTTGATTCAATTGCGTTATTTCAGGGATGCTTAGTTCACACTACAATTCATATACATGTGAATACAATGGAATGACATCTCAAAATTAGTAACTCGTTTGCATAAGGTTTGTGGAGAATAGTTTACTTTGGAGGTTTTCGCTCATGGGATTCCGGAATTATTCGTCAAAAGGTAACTTGAAGCGGACGGGCTAGGAGGACATAGGACCAATAAGGACACTAGGCTGCTCATACCGATCGAACGTCATTGGTTTGGCATAGTGCGAAGATTTGTATAATTCGTATTTTGATTAGTGGATAAGTCACGTGATAAAAAGCCGGACATAAAATCATAACAATTATGTATGTTTACGAATAAATATACTAATTGTGATGGCACTTAACTTTCAGTACCATTATGCCATCTATTTACGAGTTATTCGTGTGGATGTTAAATCTTCACTTCGTAGTGGAATCCATGTCCGCCTGGTTCGGTTTGGGCAACCGAATTTATTTTTAAAGAGTGTGTTCACTTGATTACTGAGATACGTCAATGTTTAATGTAGTGAATTGAATATTAGTTAGTAATGTGTATCATGTAGACAAAATAATTCAGTTTCATTTTGTCATAATTTACTAATGTTTTTCTTCTTGTGTTGTAATCTTCTACATTTCAGTATTATTTCATTGCTCCAATTAAATCTGACAGATGTAGGGTCGGTGAAAATGAGAGCAGCTGCGACACAGTTTATGATCAGCGAAGATAGTGAGTGCTTTTATGCTTTCTATATGTTTCGCTTGATTGGAAAAAGCATGTTGTGGTTTTGTTTTGACGAGTTATTTGCATTCATCTAGTTAAATCAATAATAAATTGGAAGGGTATTTTCATGTACAAGAAGTTTCCTGGTGTACTGATAATTTGAATGTTTAAAAATATTTCATTTTTCTATGTTTGTTCGTTTAGGAGATAAACGACTTGAAAAGTTTTGTTCCAAAACTGTTGGACTTGATACTTTACGTGATATTATCGTAGCACTAACTCGTCCTTTGGATTTCGATGAGCGTCAAGGTATGATTATTGCCATGTATTTGTTTAACAAGACTTGCTTTGTTGTCACTGTTGTTCGAAGTGAATTTTAAGTGGTTAGTCGGTTTAGAAGCGTGATCTATCTATCTATCTATCTATCTATCATAGGTGAAGATGTTGGGTAATTGTACACTGACAACGCTCTCCTGAAAATACCCATTAAGATATGACGCCCATATCGATGTGATTCTACGAATTTGGCCATTTAGAAATTTAAAAATGCTCTTATGTTCTGCTTGTAATAAATACCTATTAACCCTCCTGGTCTACATGTGATTCACTATCGTGTGCACTACGTTGAGATGCCAGATGGTGGTTGCTAGTAGTCGACAGGAAACTTGATCTCGGTTTCGTTCTATGCGTCATCCACCACCAAGATGTATCAGTTATGTTGAGGTAACTGATGCTCTGTAGTGAGAATCATCCCGTCCCACTCAGCTTCCGAATCATGGACGTTATAACTCAGGTTTTTGTGTTGCGATTGACTTCGTATAGAACTGAAATATTTTTATAATTGGTTGTTCACTTATTAGTGACCAACGGCACATTTTTCTAGTTTTATATATATATTGCTGACCGAATTTTATTGGTGTAGTTGCAGGTACACTCTGCTGACGAGTTCCAAGTACTGTGAAACTCAGATTCATGATTTCTTGTCAACCACCTCCAACCATCTAACATAGTTTTACCCTATTTGTTATGTCGTTCTAAGTGCTTGAAGTTAGGTATGAGGAAGTGGTGGTGATAGTTGATTAATTCGATTGATGTAGACTATAACATGATGGGTAATTAAGGACAAACTATAGAATAGTAATTAGTTATCAGTTGTGAATTGTTCTTTGTGGTTGTCGGATTTAGTTCAGTAAATTCTACAATATCTTAATTTAACTGAGTGAATCAAGATTGAAAACTGTTATATCTAGTAGTCAAATTTGTTTTAAGAAATATCTGTTTAATCATTGGTGTGGTTATGTTGGTGTTGATTTTCTGTCTCATCGAAACCTCTTGGATATATGTAGATACATATTTCCGAATGCAGTGCTTATCTGGAAGTTCTCAAATATTTATTGGAAATCTGCAGTATGTTCTAATGACAGGAGTAAATCGAAAGAGATGGCCGAATGATATGATGTCGATTGAAAGAAGCTGAATGAAAGAGTAAATGAATACAGCGTTGAAACTCTTTTTCTAGGTTTAAATGAGTCACAGTAGTAAGTTTTGTCATTGTGTTAGCATAACTTTTATGGAAGCTACATATTGGAACGACGATCATCAGTGTAGATGCCATAAACGATGTTTTAATATCAAAGTGAATATCGTAGGCAATTTATCGTAACTATTTTTATTCGTCTAGCAGGTCATTATTTTCCTGTTATACCCTATGAATGAATAGAGTTCGTCGTTATACAAACTGTGTCGTATAATTTATATGGTGTTTGCTAGTCTCTTTTCGAGCAAGTAAATCACTACGTTACACAGCGTAGATTTGTACTACATCGAATTACAATTGAGTATTTCGAAAATGTGAATAGAATAACAAAAGATCCTTAATTGAAATGTTTATTTTAATTAAGTTTCCATTGTTAGTTGTCCACATTCATTTATCTACAATGAAAAGGAAAAAAATAGAAATTATTCAGTATATGTTGTTGTTGAGACAGTGTCTATGTGATTAAAGCGTTCAATTATTAGCTGCTTTATTACGCTTAATTCGCTTTCGTCAATTAGATATGTGCAATACAGCCCTTATACACTTGGGCAATGATTCGAAGTGACGTACACTAATCTGTACTTGGTAACTGATTGAATAAATTTGTTTCCAATTTTTATTTGTAAGTAGTACATTCTGTAAGACTAGTTAAAATAGCAATTCAGTCTAAATATTATCACGAATAAAACAGTAAATAAATGTCTGACGTGATACGTTCATCTGAATGAGTGTTGAATAAACGGCGCGGAGTTGCTAACGAAATTTACGGTTTCATACAGTAGTACGTTGTGTTGTTTGAATTGATCACATGAAAATTAGTAGTCTGTACCATTCGGTGAATGACATACAACGTCTAGTGAAATCTTCACTTGTGAAAATTAGATTTACATTATAGACAAGCTAGTTCATATTGTTAATGAGATTCAAATGAGATTTTCTGTTCTACACTGTCTTCACATTCAGTTACTATGAAGAGATACATTTGGAGATGAATAGCACTGGTGTATTTAATCTATATGACATATTTTCAATGTTGTTGGGTGAATGTGTAAAGTGTTCAATGTGTTCCAATTGTAAGTTTGTCTAGTCTGTTTTAAAGTGTAATGCGTTGTAGTGACTCGCGTTTATCACGAGAACACGACTGGTTTAATATAAACAATTATTATTATAACCAACTGTACCAGTGTTTGTTTTAACGTGCTTTTGTTTGACTGTGCTAATGACAGCTATTTTGTGCTTCCATTCTTATACTTACACTTCGATTGTAACTTCGCGCGAATTCGGTTACCTTCTGTAACCAAGGTTGTATCCTGGCACGATCTCGGTATCCTTTCGATGCCACGAGATCGCCAGCAAATAAACCTCGACTTGGTCCATTAATTGCCTTCTGGTATTCGGCTTCTCGGGGATTTTATGGATCTATTTGGTTACGTCCAACCCTCGCCTTCTGATTCGCTTGGCACGTGTTTCTTGGTAGCGGTGTTCATAGTTAACCTCAACTCGACGCCACGCTACAATTGGTGACCCGTATTTTGGAACACGCCTCAACTTCTGATCAAATCTTCCAAAGAAGCCAATTCGGTGAGTCTATGATTTATCTATTCACGTTTGTCGTATATTTTCATATTTTTTAATATATAATATACGCAACATGACGGATAACGATAGGAATAGTATTAATATAATAGACTCACACGTATGTGTACCGAACCCTTGTCACTTTTTATTCGCGTGATGATGAATTCCACGCTTTATTCGAGAAATGTTACCCTATTAACGATTCTCCTCGCTGACCCGGCTGCTTGGTACGGAATGCATACGCATAAGCATATCCGTCTACCACCCAGCACCAAATGGTTAAGTTGAACGGTTTCACTGCCCACTTAAAAGTGTTCTACGAGCACACGAAAACGGCAACTGGCACGAAACCTTACCGCTCGTTCTTTTAGGGATCAGAACGAGCTTAAAGGCAGATATACAATGTTCCGCCACTGAACTGGTATACGGCACGACATTGCGTCTGCCCGGAGAATTCTTCACACCACGGAGCAGACCTAATTTCGGTAAATCAGTCAACGTCCATCGACTGTCTGCATTTATGTGAACGCTGTCTCCGGTGTCAACTCGAATACGACATCGACAGGTCGCTCTCCCTCGATAGTTATCTGCCTGTTCACATGTTTTTGTACGAGTAGATTCGGTACGTAAACCTTGGCAACAACCTTACGAAGGCCCTTTTCACGTGGTCGCTCGTCACGAAAAGACCTTCAAGGTTGATCGACACGGCCGCGTCGAGATCGTCAGCATTGATCGTCTCAAACCAGCACACGTCGATGACAGTGCTCCATCTGACAACCTGAGATTCAATGCTAGACCTAGCAAACCTACTAGCGGGATCCTCAAACCATCTTCAGGTCCCACGCTAGATACACCTGAGACCTCATTCTCACGTCCCAGTCAACAGCACGCGTCATCTGCACCGCCTACGGACGAGACGACAGTCTCACGTCCAGATCAGCAGACCACGCCGCCCTTGACTTCGGATGAGATTGCAAGCTCACGCGACGCGAACGAGACTGCCGTCTCACGTTCCGGTCGCCGAGTACGGTTACCCGTACGCTTCCGCGAATAGTCGCACAGTCAACAACCGATACGGTGTAGGATTATTCCTATACTACACGCATGCTACACTCTTCTTTTTTTGATTTTCTTTTTGTTTCCTGAGCCCACGCCTTCGACCATCTCCGTTTGGTTCCGTCGACTTCAGTCAACTTTGGCGAAAGCTGGCCTGATCACCCATGCTCTTGTCAACGCACTCAGTCGATATATTGGTTTCGAATGCTTGGCACACGCTTGGTCTCGAACTTGGTCGTTACGGTCGCTTCTGGTCTTTTGGCTCAACGTGGTTTCGTCCTACGTCTGCAGCGTTTCTGGTGCGCACCTCTACGAACGCCCTCTTCAGATTCTGGATACAAACCACTCTGGTGTAGCATGCCAACTCAAGCAATAAATACAACACATCGCTCCTGGTACCGTTCTCCGAAAACGACCTTCGTTGGCAACTCGACGATCAACGATCGCTTTCCTGTTCGCCAATTCTTCCGTCCTACAATCGCTCGTCAGCCGATCAGTCCCACGATTCAAACCGCTATTTATCGAAAGTGTGAACCCTTTCTAGCGGGGGGCTCCTGTAGTGACTCGCGTTTATCACGAGAACACGACTGGTTTAATATAAACAATTATTATTATAACCAACTGTACCAGTGTTTGTTTTAACGTGCTTTTGTTTGACTGTGCTAATGACAGCTATTTTGTGCTTCCATTCTTATACTTACACTTCGATTGTAACTTCGCGCGAATTCGGTTACCTTCTGTAACCAAGGTTGTATCCTGGCACGATCTCGGTATCCTTTCGATGCCACGAGATCGCCAGCAAATAAACCTCGACTTGGTCCATTAATTGCCTTCTGGTATTCGGCTTCTCGGGGATTTTATGGATCTATTTGGTTACGTCCAACCCTCGCCTTCTGATTCGCTTGGCACGTGTTTCTTGGTAGCGGTGTTCATAGTTAACCTCAACTCGACGCCACGCTACAATTGGTGACCCGTATTTTGGAACACGCCTCAACTTCTGATCAAATCTTCCAAAGAAGCCAATTCGGTGAGTCTATGATTTATCTATTCACGTTTGTCGTATATTTTCATATTTTTTAATATATAATATACGCAACATGACGGATAACGATAGGAATAGTATTAATATAATAGACTCACACGTATGTGTACCGAACCCTTGTCACTTTTTATTCGCGTGATGATGAATTCCACGCTTTATTCGAGAAA